ATATATAATTTTTATCTTAATGTGTTCCAATTTTTTAGGTTCGAGTTCCATCAAGAGGGGACAAACCAGGAGCTGTTTCCTCACCAGACCATCCTCTTCCTAATCATATTGTGGTGTGTTGAGTTTATTAATGATTAAATTTGATTTCTTATCAGTGAACAGTGTGAGAGATACGGAAACTGATTTGCTTTTTATTCATTTTCAGCCACAGATGCCATCTCCTAAGGTTATCCCAACTCTGAAGGACCCAGACATCTTTAGGTACTGCAACTAGCTTTGCTCACTGGTAGCCATACTTTGAAAATAAAACCATCATAGTTCCCACATAGCTAAAACTGATAGCTAGAACTTTAAACTTTAACTTTTAGGGGAGCAGGGATGGCACATTGGTGAGAGGGTTAGCCTCTCTCCGCTGTGGCCAAGGTTCAATTCCAGGACCTGGTGTCACATGTGGGTTGAGTTTTTATTGTTTCTTCTTGTCCTTGCTTCAAGGGTTTTTCTCCAGTTCCTCCAGTTTTCCTCCCTCCACAAAAACCAAAATTCTGTAGGTTCCAATTCAGCCTGAAAACAGTGGAAAAGAAGAGCCACTTTGGAGAATGTCCACTGCAAAATCCCAATTATTTATTTATTTTATTTACGAGTAGTAATTAAAAAAAATAAATAAATGCAGTTCAGATTTCTCTTATTACACGATTTTACATTTTAAGTGAGGTATTTCTTGTTCCTTACAGTCAGGGATTGGAGGCTTTTGTAGCATGCTACCCTTAAAATCTCAGATTTGTCCCCAGTGTTCAAGACATGCCCTCCCTAATCCATTCATTTTCAGACAGATTAGAGACAATAAACAATTATTGTTAGTAGTTTATAACATTTATTTGATTTTGATTTTCAGATGCTTGCAATCAGTTCTTCCACATATTCATCTCTTATGGGAGTTAGCATTGACCAACGAGGTAGTACAGAACTTTAATTTTCTATAGATTAAATTAACTTTTGGTATGGCATCCCTTTATTAATGGATTTATGCTTCACTTCCTTCCTATCAGCCTATTGTTGTGATGGCTCCTTCACCTACAATTTGTTCAGAGACTGTTCAAGCTCTTGCAAGGTAAATTAATTATTCTGGAGTCACAGATCCAGAACACACAGTTCATAGTACACGTAATGTATGCATTTTGTACTCTTGATTTGTACATGTAACTAATGATATGATGGAAGTAAAAAGATCTAAGTCAGGGAGTTTCAAAAGCCTGCTAAATTTAGTCAGTATGTTTTCCGAGTCATATAACTGTGTATGATAAGCCAAACAAAATAGAACTTTGTATGTGCATGTTTTGAAAAATGAAGTTCACAGTAACTCTATGATACCAAAATATCAAGTGCTATTTTATTACGAAGACGTTCTTTTCTGAGAGGATTTAGGACACTTGCACAAGTCAAAGGCAAAATGATTATTTACTTATAATGAAGTGGCTAACACCATCATGTTCTTAAAAAGAGCATTTTCATTGGGCATTGTAAGATCAAAGCCAAAGTAATCAACAGCCAATCAGGAGCCCTTGAGAACTCAGATGGAAAACAGGCAATTGTTTAAAGAGAGCATTTTATGTCTTGGTGGAGACTGCAGTAGCAACAATGTTGAGTTATACACAGTTCTGTCAAGGTCCTGGGCAGGGGTTTGTTTCCTAGTTCCATTTTTTCCTGCATGATCATTGCACAATGCACCATGACTACAAGTAAACATGCTCTGTTAATCTCTAGCTTGTTTCCTTTATCACTGGACCTGTTTCTTCAGACAGTGCCCTAGAAACAATGGCATAAGTTTTCAAAACTACAGCTGCAGTGTAATGACCTGATATGAAGCAAACATTTCCTTTTCATAAAATGATGTCTGACTGATTATTTTGGGTCACTTGCAGTGAATTAAGAGATTACAAAAATGTTCATTGTATAGGGCTGATCAAGATGGTTGTTTGTTTGTTTTTTTATAGTTTGATCTCACCGTTACACTACTGTGCAGACTACAGACCGTTCTTCACTATTCATGACACAGAGTTTAAGGAATATACCACAAGAACCCAAGCTCCGTAAGTTTTTCTAATCTCTCTGCATAAGTATTTAATTCTGATAAATAGTTGTCCTTAAGGATGAGGTAAGTTAAGTTAGCACCTGTGATTTTTACCCCTATAGGCATACTCTTTAAATTAGCATTTTGATTCCGAGCCAGAGATCTCTATGGCATAATGGTGAATAGTTGGGAAGTAATGCCAATGATAATAATAATAATAATAATAATAATAATAATAATAATAACTTTTTTTTTATATACAAAGGGAAATTTTATTCACAATGATCTCTTAAAATATTTACAAAAATTATAAAATCCTTAAAAAAATCGAAAAATACATTTAAATGTCTAATAAAAATTTAATAATTAATAATAATAATAATAACTTATAATAACAATAATAATTTGTAATAATAATAACTTTGGATTGTAACTGTGATTTTTAGGCCAGGAGTCATTCTTGGGGTCACAAATCCTTTCTTCGCCAAAACTCTTCAACACTGGCCGCACATGGTCAGAATAGGAGAAATGTCAAATCTTGGTAAGTGTCTTTCTGAGTTTTGGAAACTCTGATAATTGCATTGTAAGCTATGAATACCCAGTCATTATGCAAACTTTTAGTAGTCTACTCACCTGCAGCATGGGAGATGTGTTAACCTAACAGTTAGTCAGCTGTATGCTGAGTCGGATCTTTGTGTTGTGTTCTTGGGCTAAACTGTTTACTCTTAATCACCTAGTCACCTAGTTGTCTTCCTGTTTCACCAATGTTTTACTTTTAGCAATAGGTGCAAGTTATGTAATAGATGACATTGGGGGAGGTGTATGTGAAGTGATCAGTGATCTTAATGAATCTCTTGGGCCCCGACATTTTTGAAAGCAAGCACGTTTGAAATAGTCATGCAATGGACAGACATGTTTGTCTTTAGTTGGTTGTCAATTATTGATGTTATTTGTGATCAGTCATTAAAAGATACAGCATGGAATCTATTTGTAAAATCAGGGCAAGTAGGTATTGATAGACATCAAGCATTTTTCGTCATTCATAGCTTTTAGTTACCACGGTTTTCCTATAATACCATTAAGAGGCTACAGAGTAAGATTCCTTCCCCCCACCCCCTCCCCGAATGGACAATCTTGCTCATGCCCCTTAACACGGCGCTTCGGTGTATTAGTCTCAGGACTGACTGGCTGTCATTCTTCTCATTTCTTCTAGTTATATCATCAAGGAGATCTCCCGGTGTTGGTCAAAATGCCAAAAGAACGTTGTCGTCAAAGCCAGGTAAAGTAATGGCGTGATTGTGGTGTAGGAGAACTTAATAATGATATCTCTGACGAGGAAGGTTCAAGATCAGGTTATTTTATCTTTCCTTTTATTTCTGGCCCAATCTGCATCACCCACTCACTCCCAGGAACTGTACCTCTGAAAACTGCGGAAAAATCTGCAAGATAATAATTTTCCAAATTCTAAACACCTGTGTTCGTGACAAATTTTAGGGAGAATTTCTCAATTTTTTTCCTTGGACTTGGAATGAAAGAAATGACCGAAAGCTTTAAGTTAATATTTTCTAACCAACTGGACAAGAAATTCAGAAAGCTGAAGCTTGTTTGCTTCACTTTCCAAAGCCATGAATTAGAAGGCAGCCAAATTTTACCCTGCAAAGAGTCACATTATTAGTGCCGCAAGATGCTCTTGAGACCAGTTGAGGAGAGTTTTGCGAGGGGAGTGGCACTCATGTTTCTCAGTGCTAGATGCATTGGAGATCCCTTGCTGGCTTGCGTTGTTCAATGTCCTAGACATGACCACGGGCTAAGAAACAGTCGTGCTGTAGTAATGAGAGCGTGCTCACAAGATTTTAACAAGAAACTCTAAAGATTGGTATACTGCCATAATTTTTATATTTAGAGCCTTTTATTTCGCTTCAGGAATTTACACAAAGTACAAGCAATTTCTATCAAAGGATAAACTTATATTTAGAAGACTAAGCAAGGTGTGTATTGTGGTCTTGTGTGCTATACTACCATTAGATGTAACAGTAAACTTTAATCCATACAACTGCGCCGTTGCTGAAAAACTCAGAAATATATGAAGTGGCTTTTGAATGTCAATTGAACGTATATTACATATTGCCTTGAAGATCATATGTGTTTACTGAAATGTTGTATGAATGTCAAGACAAAAATTTTACTTTTTCTGTTGCGTTTGTTACTTGTAATCAACAGGGTAACCATCCAAAAAGACCTCCGGAAGTTCAGGTAATGACCAGGTTGAAAATTATTGGCTCTCTTTCTCGCTACACAAACCATGATGTCACTTCTTTAAAATTTTGATAATTACAAGAAATTTTTAAACTCCTCAACAAGTGTAAGCCCCCCCCCCCTCCCCGTCCCTAGAAGAGGATAGTATTAGATAACTTATTTTGAAAACACGGTTTTGTGATTGTGATAACTTGGGCTAATGTGTGTCTCCTTCCATTTGTTTTTTGTTCACAGAATGCCATTTTAAGGAGACACATGTTAGAACTTACACAGAGCTTCATGATTCCACTGGTAAGATTTCAAAATAGTCTGAAACGGCCCTTGGAAAACACGCCTCATGTAGGTCAAATACAAATTGCGGACTCCGACCTACTCCTTCCCCCCCTCAGGATGTGTCTTAATCGTTCTCTCCAGGCCCCTCCCCACCCCCATTATCCGTTCTGCATTCTGTCCGACGCTTATTTTTTCATCTGTACCAAAAATCAGATTAAGAACAAGGAACAGACCGAGACATTGAGGTGCAAGCTCGTATTCGAAAGAGCCGTTCGGTTCGGTCCAATTGCGACTGAGTTAGTTAAAACAATTATGAATCTTTCTCATAAAAATGAACGACAATGGTTTTTTGAATCTCAACGAAACAAGCCATTGATTTGCTCACTGATTTATGGTGTATAAGACCAGTAAATTGTTATGTTTTATCTACATATCGTAAACCCTTTAACTCCCACAAGTGATTAATATGCAGCTTCTCCCTACAATATTCATACATTAACCAGCAAATAAGTATTGAGAGTACTCAGACTTATCAGGTGGAAGTTGTTATCTTGATCTCGCACCAAATTCTCGCAACTAATTAACAAGGAAATGTGTAGCAACCGAGGTGAGAATTTACAATCAGATCAAGGGAGTTAAAAGGTTAAAGATGATACTCTCGTTTTTTTCTTGCGCAGGAAAGATATGTTGCTAGTCTTATGCCTCTGCAAAGAAGCATCTCTCCTTGGAAGGTAAGAAATGGATGCTATTTGATTTAATGATATTAATGTGATATTTCAATCCCTTTTTAATAGCAAAGTGCACATGGCTTGCGGTGGATTTGCTTTAGTTCGAAATACGGATTTCTGTTAAAAATTCATGGATCGTTTTTAATAGTGATTTTCGTCCTTTTGAGCATCATTCACATTGTCTTTATAGGTATATCTCAGTCAATGTCATAGTTATTTACATTATAACCACTATCTGGTTATGTCCAGATATGCACGCAGTAACGAAAATGGCAGATTTGACAAAATTTCGTCAAACCGAGCGAATGTTCATGGAATTGGCGATTTTGGCGAATTTTAGTCAAATTCTTCAAAGCGAAATCAGCTTATCGGATTTGACGATTTTGGCGAATGTTCGCCATTTTCGTTACTGCATGCATTTCTGGACATACCTCTCTCTATCATCATTGCAGCTTTCTTTTCATCAGTATCTCCACTGTATCTTTAATGTCAGCATCTTAAAACTTTGACTCCAATAAGTGACCAAGACAAAATTTCTCCTTACATTAACAATATATATCAAGCAGACAAGTGAGGAGAATATAGATAAAATATCAGTTAACGAATTGTTAATTGATCCAAAACTAAATTCTCCAAACTGATATCATGAGGATTGTATGAGGGACAGTCAGGAGAATTACTAATGAGATCTTGGGACTGAAAGGGTTTTTTCTGTTTTTCCAAAGCATCCTCCTAGATTGCAGCCTTTTGATGCAGACGAATTTCTCACAACTTTGGAGCATTCTGGACCACAGTTGACATCCAGGTTGAAGGGGAACTGGGTAGGACTGTACAGGTAACAATGGAAATTCGATCACTTTATGAAGTCTTTGACAAACATAATGTAAGGGAAATTACTGAAATATGTTTTCAGTCGGAGTCTTACCAGTAATAAGCCGTTAAAACGTCAAATGCTTTTCTATGGAGCTACATAAATAGCATTTAACCCTCAGACTCGTAACTAATTTATCGTTAATGAGGATATGATCACCAAAAAAAAAACGCTCTTGGTTGTTAAACAAACAAATACTTCTCGTCAGCACCCCAAGAAATGTATAGAGACTAGAATGGAGAATATGCATACTGATGTTAGGGTGTAAAGGGTTAATATACTCGAGGAGAGCTAAAAGATAAAGTAGGCTGATATTATTGGGAACTTGCCCTGCACGTGTTTAGGATCTGAATGTCGATAATGTTTTATTTTGAGGACGAGAAAATAATGGTTGGTAAAGAATTGTGCCCCTCTCAATCAAGAGCATCTTTGAGTGCGTATCGTTTCCTTTCTTACTTCCTTTGTTTTGACTAGCTGTTATGATTACTTTGGTTTTACAACACTCAAGCGAGGCACGCTCTATGGAGGGAACAGCTAGCCAAAAAATTTCTCTCGTACATTTTGCCGAGTGATAATTCGGCGACAGTTTTAAGAGCTTTTCAGCGAATATATCACTTTGCGATAAACATCAATTGACAGAAACTGTCTGAGCCTAACTATTGCTTGTTAGAGGAAATTTTTGACTTTATGAATTGGTCGCTTGCTGATGTTTTGTTTTACATGTTATCTTAAGGAAATTTTTTAGATCTGCAAACTTTGAAGGTTGGTTGAGACATCGGCAACAAGAGATAAGACAGAAGCTGGAACTTCTTCATCTAGAAGCCCTTGGAAAGGCTGTAAGTAGAGTTTTATTCAATAATCCTTTGGACGCTATTTTACAATTTCAGACGCTATCGCTTGATTTTGGACACCTTTGATTTTGCGCTATTATCCAACCTCAGACGCCAATATTGTCCAATGTCGGACGGTGTCGCTTAATTTTGGATACGATTGTCTGATTTGAGATGCTATCGTCTTACGCTGCCATCCGATTTCGGACGCTATTGTCTAATTTTGGGCGGCATCGTCCAATTTCAGACACTATCGTCCTATTACAGACACTAGTGTCCACTACTGTGCTGTTTTGTTGTTGCTGTTGTTTTTTTTTTTTTAATGAGTTTTTCATCCTCGTTTTTACGTAGGATGTTGTAGGTTGGATAAAAGAGAAGCAGGAAGTTGAGACAGTTGATCTGTTCTTGCAGATAAAAGAGAAGCTGGTATGTTAAAGTTGTGCCTTGGCTTTGCTTTTGATGGTTTTTCTTTTTTACTTGCGCGACAGACTGCGTCGAAAATGAAGGACTTCCCGTAGTTTGTAGGTAATTCGGTATTATTAACTGAGTTGATAACGTAATTGGGCCACCGTAAAGAGTTTCAAAGCTGACGTTTCGTGTGTTAGCCCTTCGTCAGAGCGAATAACGTTAACCTTTCGCCCTGACGAAGGGCTAACGCTCGAAACGTCATCCTTCAAACTCTTTACGATGGCCAAGTTATGTCATCAACTCAGTTGATAATACTAAATTACCCCGTTATACTCACCCACTGACGCAGCACCACATTTTCTGTAGGAACTTGGCCCCTTGTGATGCTGTGTGATGTGCTGCATCGAGAGTTTCTTTCCTGGAATCTTATCAGGTTTATAAATCTTTCAGGCTGGTTCAGCGTCTCTGTACCCTCCTGTGAGCCTTGATGTCAAACAACAGTTGAAAGGTCACCTTTCATCAATTATCAGAACTCTTCCTGAAGACCTTCAGTTTGTTTTAAAGAATAGCTAACAACAAAGACTTATTCACAAGGAGCACTCTTCGGTTGCATGGAGAAATACGCCTTCAAAAACAACATTGCGTTTCTAATGGGGAACTGCTACTATATTCACCTGCACCACTTAAATCATTTCCAACTTTGTGATGCATACATAAATGGGGGTTCATCATTAACTCTGTAGGCACTTTTAAACATTACAGTAAAATTTTATTTTTTCTAAGAAAACAATTGCTTTTCGCACGAGAGAGGTGGATGTGAAATTTATTTTGCCTATTAAAATGTGATATAAAAGTTAAATAAATGTATCATAAATTCTTTAAACGGCCAATCAGAAGAGTAGAAAATACCTTTAAAAGCCAATGAGAACCTAAAAACCAAAAAATGCCCACAGCGCGGGAAAAATGTGGGCGACCAAGTCGTCAGCGGTTTCAGTTTTACATCTTATTGGTTAAGAGAGAGGCGCGAGTTTTCTGGACCAATCACAAAAAGAAGTAGAGTAACACCAAAGAAGTCTCGGATTACTTCGACACTCAATTGAAAAAAATGCCCTTTCTCGTTACAAAAAGTTAATATTAAAGAAAGAATTATTTATGGTGGACCCGACCTTGAAACAACTAAATGACAATATTTTGATGAATTTTCTTATGGAGCGTCTGAAATATTTCGTGATGATTAATAAGTGTAGTAGATTTCTGTGTAAATAATGTGTAAAGTCTATTTTTGTAAGTGGGAAGTTTTTATTTTGGAAATGGCGTAGCATGTAATTACATTTTAAAGATTTGTTAGCTCGGACACTTGTTTCCATCAATGACAACTGTTAGCAACAGTGCTGTATGTTTTATTTTTATACGTTCATGTTTAAGGATATCTCCACCTAAGGAACAAAATTGTTAGTTATGTGATCCGAAACGTAGATTTGCTGTAAAAAGAGGGAAGTAAGCACACACGTGCAGTATAACATTAAATAGAATTGTCAGCCATTTCGAATTTTTGAACAGATGTTGTAGTAGTTTATGTGGCAATAAGAAGTATACAAACAAACACACACCGACATTGCAACGCGTCTCACCTCTGCCTCCACGAGATGCTACCTCGGTCAATTTCCTTCTCCCTTTCATCCAATATGGCGTCGGGCCCGGGCGAGTTCGGAGATGACTAATTACCACAATGTGTACGCTAAGGAGAGTGAGTGAGTGAGACGCATTTGCACATCGGAGTTCTCGCAAAATTCGTTCCTACGCTTCGCGTACCACGAGTTAAAAAGTCTGTGTTGAACGGCGAAAAAACATTTTCAAAACAGTTCTAAAAGGTGAAAGCAGCAGATTTCTTTATCATAAATGAAATTCAATAATTAAATCCTCGCAAGATCGACAAGACCAGTGTGACTAGAAGTTGATTAAAGATGCAAACAATCCATGACTATGCAAGAGAGGAAAAATTTTGTAAACGATGGAACGAGTAGGCATAC